TAACAAATTAAACTTCTGGGGGTACTGAATTGAAGATTGATCGTTTTTTGGTTCAGGTCAAAATTATGATTGGTGGATAAATGGATGGATGTGTAAATGGGTCCACCCTATAAAAAACGGGTGTGACAGAAGCCGAATTCTTGACCATAGATCGCACCTTTTCTACCTTAATGGCCGACGACAAAAATACAGTTAAGTATGAATACTCAAACCGACTATTAAATAATATAAAGTTTTTAAAATTCTGTTCAAAACTGAAATAAAATAGTTAATTATTTTTTTAAATAAAAGCACATTTTAAACATCACATCATGCTGATAAAAAAAAAATTTCAGCAGCATTTTACTTATTTAAAGAAGTAACGAACTGAACATGAAATATCAATTTAAAAATAGTGGAAAAAAGTTGTATAGATTTATATTTTTTAAGGAACAAAAAATATTTTTAAAAATTTAAAATATTTTGTGAAGGGTTTGTTAACCTTTTGAGTTCAGACTTTTTCCCTAACATCAGATGTAGGCTTTTCCGGTATATATATAAAAAAAAAAAATAAAAAAAAAAAAACTGGTTTTACTCCATGCTATTGTATAGAAAAATGGTGTGCAGCAGGATAAATTCTGCACAATTATAAAAGCAAGTGCTCAATAGCTTGGAGGGTTAACTTGCTTCAATTGCAGCAATGCGTGCTATCAGAGGTCTGTCCAGACATTTTGTGAAAGGTCCTGTTTTTGTAAAATTGTGAAAAAAGTACTCATAATTTGTGAAAAAAAAATTAATCGTTCAGTCACATTCTTTTAACCAGGGTCCTGCTTTTGTGAATTTGTGCAAATAGGATCCTGTTATTGCAAAAATTGCTAAAACCCTTTTCCAGAAGTTTTTAAATTGTAAATAGATACAAGATTCTGCACAACAATTGCTGCTACTAAATTAGAGATGCGACATACAAATATTTGGTATTTAGCCTATACTGCTCCACACAGAAAATTCATTTCGGACAAATAATGAAAAGAAAATCACTCACATTATTAATAATTTCGATTGACCAATTTTAAATAACACAACTTAGTTATGTATCACTTTTACTGTGTTACGCATTAAGCAAACTTAAGCAATCTTTAAATTTATAATATTTTATTTAAAAAATTGCCAGAAATTAATTTTGATTACATAATTATCTATTAAATAATTTATGAATAATTAAATGATGATAAATCTTGTCTGTTTAGAAGAAAGTTGCGTTAACGAACCCAACTTTCTTCTCAACAAATCCCTGGCTACGTTGTTGTGGTATAAGTAAAAGTTTCAGAACCCTATCAGGAAACAATACCAAGGAAAAGTTAGATGTAAAATTGCATTTTTATAAAAGGCGTGACTCCTACTGCTCTTCATATTTACAAGTAAAAGGTTTGATGCCGACAGGGAAAGACAGTTTTTTTCCCCCTGACATTTTGAATTTCGTTTACCATCTTAAAGTATTATAGTAAAAGATTTTACAAGTTTTGTTTCTACATATACAGGGTTGATGCGGACGAATGAATTAATTTTAAATATTTAAATTTTATGAATTACTACACATTACAATATAAATCAAATAAAATTAAAGAAGGATAAAGACTCATAAAAAATGGCCAGCTTAAGATGAAGAAATATATTTTTGTTGATCAAGGATTGCTAGTCACACGCTTTTTATGAGCAGGGATAATATTTCATCCAACTCGAAAAAACCAGGGTGGGTTTTGTCCAAATTATATTTCATTATTAACAAATCAACTCCAGATGCTAAGTTCATAATAAAATAAAACACATACATTGAATTGAAATATTTATATTTCANCACACGCGTTTTATGAGTAGGGATAATATTTTATCCAACTCGAAAAAACCAGGGTGGGTTTTGTCCAAATTATATTTCATTATTAACAAATCAACTCCAGATGCTAAGTTCATAATAAAATAAAACACATACATTGAATTGAAATATTTATATTTCAATTACTTCTATAGTCTACAGTGCTTTAAAATTTTTAATTTAACCTCTTATAAACACATTGAAATAGAAATTGCCAACAATGCACGTAAGTATTCTCTCAAGTATTTGAAATATTAATGTAATTGAAATTGTTGTTATAGCAAGATACAATATGTAACTTTTTTTTTTTTTAAATCACAATTCAATGAAATGGGAAAATTATTTTTAAAAATATATTTTAAATATTATTTTCCCACACATGTGAGCCTTGTTATATACAGTTTCAAAAGTTTTTTTTTTCTAAATATAGCTAAATAAACAAAAATTAAAATAGAAATAATGGTATTGGTCAATGGAGTATGACTTACTATAAAACTGTAAAGTATAATAAAAATTGATTTAAAAAAATGTCAATTAACTCTGGAAAAAAAAATAATAAATTTTGGAAGAAAAAAATAAATAAATCCCTTAAAAAAAATACAATCCTAAAACAGAAAAAAATCATAAAACTCTACAAAAAAATATTAAAAAAAAACAGTGTTTTGGGGTTTTTAAAAAAAAAATTTCAATTCTGACTAATAATGCTGAAAGCATTGAAAACAATGCAAAAACTTATGAAAATGCTTTCTTCGTGCATTAGTATGTAAAATATAAATAAAATTATGGAACAAGCTTGATTACTAATTAGCTGTCTTGTAACAAAGGAGTCATACATAAAAAATTAGGAAAAAACTTAATACACTTTTTTTTAACTTTTAACATTGTAATATGCTTAGCAGTTACTAGAATTCCAATTATTTATTTGTGATTAACCCTGTATGTTGCTTTAAGCAACAAAAGTTAAAATTTAAAAATATTACTTCGTGAAAGCAATACTGGAATGTTATTCAAAATCAGAATCTCAGAGTTAATAAATAAAAACCTTATTTTTAGGTAACTTTAAGTTTCCAAAACCATTATAAAATAATAAAAAAATCCAAAGCAGATAATATAAAGATAATACAGATACTAACGATTAATTTAAAAAATTAAAAGAGCATCCTTTTATGAGTAATTTGAAAAATAAGCAGAAATAACTAAATACCCATGCAATTGAAATTAAAAAATAATCAGTATTTTGCCTTTAAACTAATCTTAAATACAATGAAGTAATGCTTAGTTTTGGACCAGTTTAATGCATCAATCTAAAAACTATTATCTTAATTTTTTTAACATCGCATAAAAGAATACTGCAACATTTATGAAAAATACAAAATATAATATAATAATTATTTGTATTGAAGTAATTTACATATTTAAAACTAGACTAAGTCAACACTAGACTTAGTCAATACTGTAATAAAAAAACATTAGATTAAGTCAATACTATAAACATAAACATTAGACTAAATGAATACTATAATCATAAACATGCATATAATTAAAATTTCACTACATGACTTCAGGGGCAGAAATGAAGAAATTTAATCACTAATCTGTTTACTTTGCTTAATTTGAATTTTTTATAAAGCTAATTAGGAGGGTTTAGATGAAAAATTACAATACAAAGAATGTGTAATATCATAATTATGAGGAAATACGTTATTTTGTGACAAAAACAGAAACCTAACTATCAAACAGAAAATGAAAAAAAAAACATCCTTTTAAATTGATTACTCCTCCTGGAGATCACTGATAAATATTTTATGGTGGTCCCAGTAAAACTTAAGTGGTCCAAAATGCCACCTTTAGTTTCGAACCTTGGTGATTTAATAATTAAATGCTAAACAAATCAAATAAAAATACTATAGGAATAAGTTGGGAATAAATAGATTATTGAAGTTATAACAGTATTTTTTACAATTCTAAGAACTATGCATGATTTTATACTCAGAATCACTCTTTTAACACAAATTTCCTTAATTAGCTAACATTACAAAAATTAATTTAAAATAAAACATAAAATGTAGAGTCAAATTAATAGTCAAATGATATAATCAAATTGAAAGTTTTATTACTTTAAAGAAAATAAATATATATTTTTCATTTAATATAAAATATTTAGAAACTTTGAAATATATTATTTTAAAAGTTCATGAATCAATTACCTTTAACCACATATTTATTGTGATATTACACATATGCCATTATGCCACTCAATATGATATTCAAAGCACAATTCAAATATTTTTAACAGTGCAGTTTCAAATAACTAGAGAATAAATTTTAAGAAACTATAAGTTATTTTGGGTATACATATTATATAAGTTATTTTTTCTTTAAATCATAAGAAGCTATAATTAATTCTGAGTATATAGATTATGTAAGCTATTTTTTTTTTAAATTATAAGAAGCTATAATTTATTCTCTGTATACATACAAAATACATAAGCTTTTTTTTTTAATGACAGTATTTTTTCATGTTTTTGTCATTAATAATTTTAACCACTCTGATTTGATTTTAGTAATACCAAATGCCATAGGTAAAAAAAAGAAAATTATTAGACAATTTATATTGCAAATAAATTATCATTCATAAAAAATAAATATTTAAAAAAAATTAAAGAGGTTTTTCTTTAAAAAAATCATCGTGAATAAATTAATAATGGAATTGATAATAATTAATAACAAAATAATTAAATTATTCAATGTAAAATAAATCTATAAAAATAATGATACTTTGTTATTTACACTTAACACAATTCTCTTCACTTACATTTCAATAGGATGTTGAATTTCATAAAAAAACACTATTTAATTGTTATCAATTAAAATTAAATTGAAATTTTTATAAACTTATTTAAATTATTAAATATAAAATAAATCTATATAAATAATGAAAATTTGTTAGGGGCAATTTACCACTAACACAATTCTATCCATTTACATTTTAATAGAATATCGAATTTCATTTAAAAATTAACTATTTAATAGTTATTAATTAAGAATAAATAATTAAAATTTTTAAAACCTGCTATTTAAAATAAATATACGCAAAAAATTACTGAATAATTGATGTTTTTATAATACATCAAAATAAAAAATATATTACCTTTTATATGAGTTTGCACCAAATTTTGTCTTCTACGACTGGTATTAGAAAGATTTTCTTGATTGGATGTGGTTGTTAATTTATATTCAACGGTGTCCATTTCTTGAAATGATTGATCAACACGCTCCTTACTGTCCAATTGCGGTACAACACACAAACGCTCATTATGGATAACACTGTTTAAAGATGTGTACCAAACTGGTACATCACAATTTCTTACTTTTTCCCACGCGTACCTTCCTGCCGGTAATGGGGATTCCCTACGAAAATCAAAATTCCAAATTTCAGATGAGCGTTGCACATCTTCATTTTCAATTTCGGAGAGGGAGTCCGTGAGAAATGTTTTGTTCGATTCGTCGTCACAACAACCAAAAAGCTTCCTCCGGACCTTGAGAGTGACATTTGTCGTATCACAGCCGAGCACGTTCAACATCTTCAGAGAAATAATATCGATTTCAGGTTGAATCACAATATTCGGTTCCGTGTGCATTATTATAGAACCGGTAAGATCTTAAAAATAATGTTCAAATACTATTCAAAACAATAACAAAACAGAAGTCATTCAGATAAATTGAAAACGATAATTAAACAACATAATATAGGGAAAACGATAATTGAATTACTAGCACAGCTTTAAAAAACTCAAACGATAGGTCATACGTTTTTCACTTATCCAAGGGGGGGATAATGTGATAAAAGCAAACGATGCTGTCTATAGATGACCTTTATCAAAGAAAAATAACTTGTTAAAGTCCACGTTTTATTGGAGAATGTCAAATGAATAAATAAGCTCCGAATATAAAAAGAATATTTCTTTTTGCCGCCACAATCTTGCAATGATAAAAGCACACACCGCGGGTATGACGAATTGTGACGCAACACACACTATCTTCCAAAAAGCATCGTCACCCCTGAGCGCGCCATTTCTGATGATCCAATCAAAAATTCAATAACTAGTAAACATGCGCTTCATTGGTAGAAACGGTTTGGCGGGAAAATGTGTTTGCCCGCGTAACACGTGGAATTTCGCGCGCATCTGCCTCAAGGACGAAAAAGGAGAAAAAGCAAGTGGAAAACACCATTTCACTTCCTAGTATATGATGAGGTTGCTAGGTTACATTTACTATGAATTTTGGCGAGAAATTCTTTCTTCTTCGCTGAACTCTAAAAAATAAAAAAATGATATTACCATCATTATGTAATAATCAAAATAATGACTTTGAAAAATTGCTTTTTAAAATAAATGCGTAAAGGGATACTTAAGGCAATAGGAAAATTATGCATGTAGAATTTAATGCCAAATGATTCATTATTTTAGATTTATTGATGCGTGATTGGAAAGAATTAAATTGTAGAAATATTTTTAAAAGTTTTTGTTTTATCATATAATACGTTATTTTGAATTGAAGCAATTTCATTTAATTAGCAGATGTAATAAAATAAATTTGTAACAATATCTATGCTATTTAATACGTTTTGAAATTTTTGAAAATTTGTTTTATTCGATGCAACATTATGTAACTGTTAATTAAAGTCATTAAAAATCAATACTAATTTAGTTATAAGCATGCATGTGGTATTGACTTTATAACATGTTGTTGTCGTAATAATGAGCCCATTTCTCGATATCATATGTCTAGGTCAACGGTTACAAACAATGGTATTCCACGGAACTCTAGAGTTCCATGGAAGGCTAACAGAGGTTCCGGGAAGTTCGAATTTTTCTTTCTTTATTTATTTGTTTATTTTTCATCGGCCAACTTTCGCTCTCAACGAAAATGATTTTCCCGAATAAAATGACAATTTTAGGCAGAAATATTTTTGCATATAGCCAGAAACTAAGCAGAGCATCGCTGGATTATCATGGTATCTATCGCAAATTTACTAAGAGAACATTTATCAGGGTCTTTTACTCAAATCGTTCATTCGAATAAACTTTTGAAAGAATAAATTAGCTTATTCGTAAAAAAAAACAATAATTTGTGTTATGATTTAGATTTTTATCTGTAATTATTTATATTTTTATCAGTTGCAGATAGTGGCGTGGGGGCACCTAGAGCGAACAACTCTTCGAATAGATTTATCTGAGAATAAAGAATCAATTATTTTATCTCTGAAGTGGAGTAAAAAACACAATTAAATTAAATTTAAAAAAAAACACCACAATGATGAATGTATTTTCACAAAAATTCTAATCCATGCATGTTTTAAATTCATTTAAATGTATTTCATTCTTTTGAAAAAAATTACTATTTTTATATTCCTAAGTTTTCGTAAATGTAAAGCAAACTTCATTTGTGTCAAAATCACATTTCATTTTTCATACAATATTTTGCTTAACGGTGACTTTAACTAATGAAAAATACTTTTTTTCCTAATAAAAAAATACTAGTGATCGCATTTAAAATTTCTGCGAAAGTGTAGATGACCCCCCTGACTTGATACTTGGGACCAATGCCCTTCAACCCCTCCCACCCCTCTCTTCACGCCACTGGTTGTAATGTTGCAGAATTTTATAACACGGCCAAAATTTATTTTCAATTTTAACCGATTCATATCCCATTCATGACAAAAGTTTGAGCATATCGTATCTGCAGTACATACGCAAGCAAGTTAAAGGGGGATATTAAATTTCACTAAACAAAATCGAGGTCAAAATACAGATGCAGCGTGTAAAGCTGCTACATAAAACATCTGGCACGTATTTTAATGTCATTTGCTCTAATTATAATTATTAACTGTCATGTGAACTAACGATTCATTATAAATTTAAAAAGAACGGTAATGCTAATTTTAAAATATATCATTCCTAGTAGATGAGAAACAAAGAACTAAAATGTAAATGATGAAAGGTAGGCAGATGGAGTTATGCAAAAAAATATTATCCCCTCTCGATAATTGAGATTTAATGACAGATAATATTATAAAAAGAAATGATAAATTAGACTGAAAAAGATAACTGGTGTATGAATATGATACCACGCTGAACACAATCGTTTCCTGGTTAGATAAGATTAAATGGTTAGTTATTTAATAAGTAGCTGCACCGTTTCATACTTAAAAATAACTTTTCACTATTTAAATTTTCCTTTCTTTGTTGTCTGGCTTTATGTCCTGTAATTAATCATTTTTCCCTTGCCCATTATAAAAATATTCAACAGTGTTCCTTTCCGTTAAAATTGATTTTTAAAGTAATATTTTGTATATCGCATGGTACATTTTATCTCTTATTTATTTATTTTTAGTTAGAGTTAAATTTCTGTTTTTGAAAAGGCTGGTTACCATTATTTACCTCCGATGAACATAAACTTCTCTCATTTTTTTTATGGTCCCAGAAAAACTTAAGTGGTCCAAAATGCCACCTTTAGTTTCGAACCTTGGTGATTTAATAATTAAATGCTAAACAAATCAAATAAAAATACTATAGGAATAAGTTGGGAATAAATAGATTATTGAAGTTATAACAGTATTTTTAACAATTCNGAAAACAAACTTATTAAAAATGGAATGACGTAAAATTTAAAACGTAGCCAGATTAGTTACATTTTCATAACAACATTAAGAAAAAATTGGGTGCGTTGGATTTAACAAAATGAAATAAAAAAAAATAAAGCTTATTCTATTTGTTTACTATATTGCCATTCAAGGTCAATTAATCTTAGGATACAAAATGAAAATGGAGTTTTTAACCGATCCAGGAACGCAACGTAGGTGTCGTTTTTCATCACACTGCAAGCAAAACAGGGGTAAAAAACAATTGTAATTAAATTGATTTGAAAGTAGCCAATGTCCAGTCAGTTTTTGGTTAATTTAACTACAGTTCAAACAAGAACCTACATAGAAACATTTCGGTTAGGTACTCTTTTAGCTCATTTTCCGTTTTTTATCTCAAAATCGGGGCTTGTTTCTATAAATGTGTCACTGATATGTTATGTTTCTGCAAGATTATAATTTTCACTCAACTTAACTCCACGCTAACCTATATCAGCTATGGGTGTTTACATTTGGGCATCTATGCTTTGCGGTAAGATTAGGCCACGTGGCCTAAGATGGAAGTGATGACGGATTCGTTAAAAGGGGATCTTTTTTTTTTTCCTTTCTGAAAGTTTCTAGTGCGAAATAAGCGGTATATCGGTTCTGAAGAGCGAAGTGTGTTAAAACTTATTTATGTTCTCGATACAATTCCAGAACTGTTTGTTTAATTCTGATATTACTAATCGTGCTCGGTATATGGCAGATTTTGCACTCTTCACAGAGCCAGGAACTGTAGTGTTTAAAGATTGATTTAAAATACGAAATCCACGAGGACCGTATCAAATTATTATCGAGTACAAATAGTCAGCCATTAGTTTTAAATATCGTTAAATTCACTTAAAAAAAAAAACTTCATTAACATTGATCGACGAGACTAAAGGGGGGTAATTTAGGCGGAAGGTCTACATAAGATGTAGGCTACGGCCCGGTGGCCAGTTTAAAATGGCCTTCTGGATAACTGTATAATCAGAATTATGTTCTAAAGAATACATTTTCATTGACGTTTTTTAAAAAAAATTAAACTAAGGTTTGGTGTTTGGAGCTTTCAGAAAAGGAATTCAGAATTTGTGGTATTTCAAAGTATCCTCAGTAGTCGACGGATAATGGGTTGGAGCCCCCCTTGCTGTCAGGCTGACCGTGGGAGGTTTTCAACTCCATGTAACGCAAATGCGGGTTAGTTCCATCAAAAAGTCGGTTCAAAATAAAATATCTATGACAGTAATAAATACAAAATATCTAAACTAAAATATGTTCAAAGACGGTTACAAAATAAAATATCTTCTTGAGAGTCGTGGTGGCTCGGGGGATAGAGCGTTCGCCTTCCAGTGACGTGAACCGGATTCGAATCCCAGCGATGACTGATCGATACTAATTCCGCGCCCGGCTCGCGACGACCACAGTGCTGACGTAAAATATCCTCAGTGGTAGACGGATCATGGGTTAGAGTCCCCTTGTCATCAGGCTAACCGTGGAAGGTTTTCCTCTCCACGTAACGCAAATGCGAGTTAGACCATCAAAAAGTCCTCCACGAAGGCAGAATTTCTCCCAATACTTGATCCAGGAGTTCCCTTGTCTTCTGGATTGGCCTCAAAATTACAAGTCTACAGAGTTAAACATTAGTAGTCGTAAACGCAAAAAATTGAGTCGGTTGTTCAACGACGGTTAAAAAAATATATTTTTGAAGTGCTGCGGTTGCGCATAAGATGGAGTGCTTTCCTCCCAATGAGCTGACCCAGGTTCATATCCCAGCGATATCTGTTTTATACGAATTCTGCACCCAATTCGCACCAACTTCAGTAACGACGTAGAACATGTTCTCAATGGTGTGGTTTAAAGTCTTCTTGCCATCGGGCTAGCCGGGCGAGATTTTCCTCTACGTGTAACTCAAAATGAAAATAAGTTTCTTAAAAAAGTCTTCCACTGAGTCTAGTTTGACACAATGATTGGTCCAATAGTTCCCTTGTCTTCTGGCTTGGCATCAAAATTAAAAGGCAAAGGAGTTGAACATTGGTAGTTGTAAACTTAAATTTGGGTCGGTTGTTTAACTTCAATTATAAATTAAAATTTCTTCTCGAAAAGAGCCATTCTTTAATTTGATAGCAAACAGATTGGAAATCAACTTCATCTCAGTTTAAAACTTTCAGCCGTAATCTTACGTTGTAGATTTATATATAAAAAAAAGAGCAGAGATAGATGAATAGCATTAATAATTGTTTTTAATGTTTCAGTGATTTGAACTTTATTAAAATAAATTATTTTAATTATTACAATTAATATAAATAATGGCTAATGGTTTTTAATCAAGTATCATACAATTTTTAAACTAAAACCATTTTGAAGTAATGCTTTTGCAAAAAGAACTTAGTCTAAAATATTTATTTTTTGCTTGTTATTTGTTAAAAAGATCACCTTTAAGCAAAGGGGGTGCTTCCATGTAATTTTTTAAACAAGCAACCACAAAATTCCAATTACGGCATTTACTTTTGTAGTTTTATGTAATTTTTTTATTTGAATAACACGGCAGCATTCTAAACAAGAGATTTTGGGTGTGGCTCATTGATATCATAACGTATCTTCTAGCAATCATATCTAAGATATAAACAT